AAGTGACCGAGCAGTAAAAACAAAAGGGTATTCTTGTAGTGGATTCGAACACAACAATATTGGCTCAACTTGAGGTAATTTTGAAATAGTTAGATGCATCCTCATTGGTTCAGAAAAATATGAGTAAGGTTCAAACACTCAGGTGTGATTTTTATGGGGAAGGACGTGTAAATGGAAACTGTGTGCCAGAAGTTGATAGTGTTGAAGCTCAATATGCAAATTTTCAAAAAAAAAATTGTATTCCAACACCTACAATCCTGGTTGAAAAAATCACCCAAATTTTAAGTGGAGCAATAATCAGACTTTGAATGCTTACCAAGGAGTTTAACAGGTTCTTCAAGCATCACCAAGGACACCATCACCATTCAAGGAAACCTTAGCCAACTTCATAAAATCCACTCAAATAAGTTTTAAATAGGTTGGGAAGACTCGGGAAGAAATGTTTAAAACCCAAAGGGAGATGGCAAAGAGTCAAGATACCATGAGCAAAAATATTGAAGCTTCAATAAAGAATTTATAAATTCAAATCAGTTAATTGTCTCGACAAATGGTAGCACAAGCCTGTTCAAGTAGAGGATTTATTGGAAATGGAATCGACAACCTAAAAAATGAGATTTGTAAAGCCATTGAGTTGATAAATAGAGGGGTATCTTCAAACCCAAAGGTTAGTGATGAGAGGAAATAATCATGCAAGGATGAAAAAAATAGTGAGAAAGAGGGAGTAGTCGAAAAAGAGGTTGATAAAAATATTGTTTTCATCTTCCACCACCGTCCACCGTTAACCAAAACCTAGATCTCCATTTGAAGCTCAACCAGGGTCTTCATCCCTTCATCCAGGACACCGTCTGGCAACCCAGAACCACCATGAATTCATCCAACCTTCATAGAGAAAAACCCAGATCTTCATACACCAAACCCAGAACAACAATAAACCTTATGAACCCTAAGCAACCTTCATCTAACCCTAAGAACCCTAAGGGTTCATGAAGAACCCTAACCTAACCGTATCCAAGTCAAACAACCCTAAACTGTTTATATCTAACCCAAACCTAAAATCATCAAACCTGAACCAGGTCCAACAACCCTAACGTGTTTACCCTAACCCCAAATCGAACCCTAAATCCCCAAATATAACCCAAAAACAAAAATTCAAAGCAAAAACAAACACCAATCATCATTCAAGCCCTAAAAGCTAAGAGTTTTTAGGCTTACTTGAATTCGCAGTGATTCTTTTCGTGAATTTCCTGTTGGTTCTTTTTCTACTTCTTCTAATCTCCTCTTCTTTTCCTTTGCAGGTACCGGAGTTGGGGCCAAGCACAAAGATTTTAGGGTTTCAGCTGTGAAACCCTAGATCCTTAAAGATGAAGAGCTTTGAGTGAAAGGGTGGGATAACGCAGCAAGCTTCGAATTTCTCCAAGGGTTTTCATCCTAAAAAATCTCCCCCCTTTTCTCTTAGAAATTAGGACTTTATATAGGTTTTAGGTTAGATTAGATTAGGAAAATTTTCATTGATTTGTAGTTATATTTTTTATATTTGTTGATTGATTCAATTAGGGCTTTAGATTGAGATTTTATTGTAAATTATATTTTAGAGTTTTGCAATCTGTGATGTATCATGACTTGTTATTGTATTGATTCGTTTCAGTTAATAAAACAAATTTGATTTCCATATTTGATTTATCTAAGATTCGATTTGTTATGAACATTTGATTCAATGATTTCTGGACTTGGGCTTGTGAGTTGCCTTAGTGAAGAAGGACATGCCGCCGCGACTGATATAGGGGTTAGAAACCCTAGTTGACATTTGGTCAACTTTGCTTTGAATAAAAATAATGGTAATTGATAAAAAAACGAGAAAAATATATATTAATAGTAACGACAATAATAAAAACAATAATAAATTAAGAATAAAAATTATAATATTAATAATAATATTAGAATAATAATAATTATTGCAATAATAATAAGTGATAAATAATTATAATAACAATAATAATATAATAAGAGTAATAATAGCTAGGCGTTGACTGTGGTCAATCCTAAATGGACCTCCAAAAAATAGTTTAATGGGCCATCCAAAACAATTCAGATTTTACGAAACCCGCACCCCCTTTTTATGGACTTAACACAATTAATAAAGGCCCCTCAAAGATCTTAATGGGCCGCTTTCAAAAAAGAATGGAATTTACACCCCTTCTTCGGAATTTTAAGGCTCACTAATCTAAACAAATTTATAATATAATAACAAAAATTAATAATTTTAACCCAATGTTGGTAATAAATTGGTTAGTAATGCCAATAGGGAAATTTTGGAGTATGACAACATGCTTTTTTCTCCGTCTTCGTCATTAATATTTACAACATTTTCTCTTCTTGTTTTCTTTGGTGAAATCCCCAGTTAGTCGAAGACCAGTAATAGCTGCAAGATCAAAGAGAGTGGGAGTAGCCATCCCACATGGTAATTGGAAAGTATTGGTCGAAGACTCTCAAAAATAGATAGCAGCTATAAGCATGTGGGGATTGTATATGGGCCAGTTCTTGACAATTGAATTAGATTAAAAACACATTGTTCCTTCCCAGATTTTTCTTTCTTCTAGTGTATTATGTACAAACAACTAAGATAAGCATCACTGTTGGTGGAGGGAGAAGAGCGGAATATGCGATTGGGGTGTTCCATAAACCCCAACTCAAAACTTCTATCTTCAAACACACGAGGTTTGGATGATGATTAATAGAGGAATAACTTTTCAAGTTTAGATGGTTTCATAGGTGACTTGGGTAAAGGGCCCATAAAAGCATGAATGATACATGTAAGAGAATAAGGGATCAATACCTAGAAAGCCCAAATGAAAACTTTTTCCTTCTCCATTAGAGGTTCTTGAGCGTAGCTATGGTTGTTGATGGGGATGTGTCCTTGGAGATCAAAGGCAAACAAAATCGAGAGTTATTTCTTCGTGCTAGAAGAAGCCATTTGTTCTTAGAACATGAGTAAAAGAAAATAGTAAAGATTGCAGAAAAATGAAAGCTCTCAAGGTTCAAAGAAGAAGAAGTTGTGAGAAAGAAGAAAGAAGAAAGAATGATGCATATATAATTATGGAATAAAACTCTTTAGTGTTCCCCTCTGAATTAAAAACCAAGTAACGTTATTTTCTAGAATAAAATTAATTAAAAGATTTTAAATAGGTTAATTCATGTGGCCCACGATGTCCTTCGAAATTTGAGCCAAGATGACAATTTGCTCGCATGTTCTTGACGTGACAGTTTATTGAAAGTGATCATGATGACGATGACATATGCAGACTACTTTGAACGATGTCGAGAGTTAACTAAAAACACCATTTTCTTCCATGATGTAAACATGATCGAAATTGGCATTTTAGGGGCACCTATTATCCTGGGAATTTTAGTGTAGCATTTTCGACATGAAAATTTGATGTAAATGTATGAGATTGCTAAGTGTAAAATGACCTAGCTATAGTTTCGACATATTGATTATTTCGACTGAGGCAGTGGGTTTGACTCGCCTACCAGGTGTTTCGGGAATTAGATAACCTAGAGACTCATTAAGTATGGTTTGGAGGAATCTCAGGAACAAATCCACAAGATTAGAATCACTCTCTCTTCGAAACATGTTCAGAATCTCGAAAAGGTTTACAGTGATTTGGCATATTCGACAGGAATAATTAGAAGGCTTGAAGAAGTTTTTGACATAAGCAATCAAGAAATTTAAGGGCAATTGTCGACATGAGTCGCAGTTTGCAGCAGTTCAAGAACTGAAGACACGTGGAAACAACAGTAGAAGACAAAAGACCACATAATAATGTACATGTCGAACATTAGAGAATTGACCATTGTCGACGGATATTGATATGTTTAGTGTATAAGTTGATTTCGTTCATGTAACAAGGGTTCACAAATTTTTATTGTTATTCTCTATAAAAATTGACACATCCAAGTTACAGAGATAAGAATTTGTGAGAAATATATGAATCTGCGTCCCATATTTAATTTTAGCATTTTTCTGAATTATTGTTTACTATTTTTCTTCATTTGTTATATCTTTTCATGCAAATCTACACATCATTTCTGAGCAATCCCATTCGTTTTTATAAATGCAAACACTAAAATCTTCAAACAATAACACATTTTTCTCAAATTTTCTGCACAAATGTCCTTTTAATTTTTTTGAAATTTAATCCCTTAAATGAATAGACACTTGTAATTTGATTTACTAAAAACACTAATAAATACTTGTATAGATTTATTCAAATCAATATTATCAACATGATTTGAATTTTTTTCTTTATTTAAAACAATTTTGCAAGTTTATTTCGGAGTGATGTGAGAAAACACTGATGAGTAGGATAATGAATCGGCAAGAATTCTAAAATTGAAAAAATACATTAGGTAGTTAGGAATCATTAGGAGAAGAATCAACTTTCTCTATTTGAATTTTAGAATGGATTTAATTGTGGGTTGAAAAATAGAGAAATTGAAGACAATTTCTTTTAATCTTTTATAATTCTCATAAAGACTTCATGATAATATAGTGTTATTTTGTCTATTATCAAAACAAAATAAGTTTATATAAAATAGGGTAAGAGCAAATGTTATGAACTAAATGTAAAAATATTGTTCAAGGAAACTTAGACTGCATTTATTAAAAGTTTATAATTAAATTTTTTATTTGTAGATTTATTAACAGGTGCCGGTATTACCCTATAAAATATAATAACTTTTTTATTTTGGTTCCGACGGTAACCAAAACAAGCGAACCTCACTCACACCAACAACCACCACCGTTACTCCGCCACAATACACCATGAACTCCGGCATCCGTCACAAATAATTGCCAATTTTTACATTGAAATAAACCAAATCTATCGTCAGTGACCCCAAATTACTTTCATTCGATGCCGAGCAAGGATAATTAAAATCATTTCATAGCCAATTTTTGGTGGTGGTGGTGGTGGTGTAGAAGCCTGAATGATATGTAATTGATGATGCTTGGTGTTCCAACAGCAAGGTCTCTCTCCCGTTTTCACTCTCCCCTTCTAACAACAATATGGTATGATTCTCCTCCTTCAATCCATTTTCATAAATGTTATGCCACGAGTTTTGTAAAGTTCTGCTAGGGTTTTGAGAAGTTCTGTATAGATCTACTATGCTTTTCTTTTCAGGGTTTCTATCAGAAACAACAGCAGTTAAATATTTGACTTTGTAAATTGTAACCCATAATCTCTTTCGAATCGGGCTGGTGTTAACCAATTAAAGTTAATCCATTTGCAGTTTACGGGCTTTTTCAACAGAGGCATCTCTTGACAAAGAGAGTGTGACGAACGAAATCTTGAAGGAATTTTGTGCCACCATTGAAAATGCTCCAGCATCCAGTTCCAAAGTCTGCTACGCATATATTGATAAGATTTGCAAGGCTGGAAACGTTTCCGCCGTAAGTCAAATGCTACAATTGTTAAATGAAAAGAACATTGTTGTCTCACTGAATGTGTATAATCTCGTGTTAGTGGAAGCAATTCAAAATAATGACATTGAGCTTTCATTTCAAGTGCTCAAGAAATTATTATTGTCAGGCGAATCCCCAAGTGCAACCTCTTGCGTTAAGTTTGCGCGGGCATTCAGAAATGTAAATCATTCTGTGGAGCTTCTTAGATTTCTTAAAGAAATTGTATCAGAAACCAGTTGTTCAAGTATATCATCATTCATAAACAAGATCATTTTTGCTTTTGCTAAAAGTGGACAGAAGGATAGTGCTTTGGTGATATTCAGTCTTCTTAAAAGACAGAACGATAGTGTTCTGGACTTGATCACATATAATATTGTTCTAGATATCTTGGGTCGTATGGGCCAAGTTGATGAAATGCTTGATCTGTTTGCGTCGTTGAAAAAAGCAGGTTTCGTCCCCGATACTATTTCTTACAATACTCTAATACATGGACTGGGAAAGGTTGGAAGATCTGATCTGTGCTTTGCGTATTTTGAGGAAATGAAGGAGAATAAAAATCAACCGAATTTGCTTACATATACTGCTTTAATTGATACTTTGGGCGGAGCAGGAAATATTGAGGAATCACTGAAACTCTTCAGGGAGATGAAACTGAAGGGGATTCTTCCTTCAATTCAAATATACAGATCATTAATCCATAATTTAACTAAAATAGACAAGATTGAGTTGGCAACAGAACTTTTAGGAGAGATGAATTCTTCATCGACCGTTTTTCCTGGCCCAACAGATTTCAAGACAAAAAGAAGGCAAAGAAAGGTTTGAAGGTCTGTGTATTTAGTTTCAGCTGACTGAGTTCTTAAAGTTCACAGGCTTACATTGTCATGTATTATTCTCTGTATTATCTTTGTTGCAATGTGATGTTGATCCTCATGAGTGGCTGCCATGGTAATGTTTGAGGCAAGAAATTGGACAGCGTTACATTTATTCTATTCAATTTTATCATTTCTTACCATGAGCTATGAGAATGATCCACTAATTTGTTACGGATTCCCTTGAATTTTATCTTCAAACAGAGACTGTGTTGTGAATTTTCTTTCAGTGATGGATTTATTGGGTTGAAGTGGCACATAATGGTAATATTTTTTTAAAATTTCTTCAAGAGAACTACATACTTTTTAAATTTGTATTCTTGTTAAAAAGTCAAATACATTTTCTTTCTTCTTAACCCTTTAGTTTGTGGGGAGAAACATATTTTAATGTCAGAGTTCAACTGAAAAATTAATACAAATTTAAACAATAATTATATAAGTTTAAGAATTAAATTTTTAAGAATACATGATAAAATTATCTCTTGTTACATGGTTGGGAAAAAATATTCTTAAGTATAAAGATTCTTAGGAGTTAAATAACTCTCATAATTTTTATAATTCTCATAATTTTATTCCTATGTCAAGAATGTTATGGACTCCCATGATTTTTTTTAAAATTAAAATAATTTTAAAACCTAATAAACTTCGAATTTGTTATAAAATAAGGAGAATAAAGATAAAAGAGAAGAGAAAAAGATGAGAACAATTCTATATTATTTCATTGACATGTCTTTCTATAATGAGATTGATTATATTTATAGGACAACATACATACAATAATAAATACAAATTATTATAAATAGGGAATAAAATCATTGAGAGGCCATCATCCAATTATTCATAACACTCTTTCTTGGATGTAAAAAACTCTTTCTTCGGAGTGACTTTGTGAAGATGTCTATAAGATTATCACATGAACGAATTTGTTGGATGTTTGTATCACCATTCTTCTAAAGACCATTAGTGAAAAAGAACTTTGAAGAAATGTGTTTTGCTCGATCTCCTTTAATGTAACCATCTTTCAGTTGAGCAATGCAAGCAATATTATTTTCATATATGGTTTTTGTATTTCTTTTTTCATAAGTCAACCAACAAGTCTTTTGTGTGTGTTGAGTTTGGGATCTCAACCAAACGCATTCTTAACTTATCTCGTGTAGTGCTAAAAATTTCTTCATAATTAAATAAAGTTGTTGCTATGATTAGTTTCACAGGTCTTCATGAAATAGTTGTACCATCAAGTAAACAAACAATCTATGTGATGTACCGTTATAAGGATTTGACAAGTAATTTGAATACTTTGGAATAAAATAAATCCATGTCCATTTACCGTTAAGATAACAAAGTATATGTTGGACTACGTTCAAATGTCTTCGTGTAGGTGAAGAACTATATCTTACTAATAGAGTAATATAACTTGATATATCGATGTCTGTATAATTAGAAAGATAGATCAATGCTTGAATTACACAGAGGTATGATACTTCAGTACTAATTAGTTTTCATCCTCTTCTCGAGGTTTAAAAGAATATTCTACACGTCCAACGATCTAACATCATCGAGATACACGACATACGAGATTTATCCATATACAAATGTTTTAGCACTTATGCTACATACCATATGATATTTGTCCATATAGAAATATTTTAATACTTTTCTATATAACCTTCTTGGTGTATGAAAGTTTCATTGTCTAAATGTTCAACTTTTTCTTTAGTTCTTCATATCAAATAATTTCCTTAAACAATTTATAGCTTTTGGAAACTCTTCAAGAGTTCCAATAATATTTATGTCATCTACATAGACAAATATTATAAAAAATTATTTTCTAGAACTTTCATAAAAATACAAGGACTTCTGGACTTATTTGTATATCTCTCCCTTAAGAAATATTCATTGAGACAATTATATCACTTGTGTCCATATTGTTTTATCCTATAGAAATAATTGTTCAGTCGTATGTTCTTATCAAGTGAACCATACAATTAAGATGTTATAATATCTATCATGTTGAAGTCAAGCCCTTCATGTGATATAAGACTAATTAATTATAAAAAATTAATTGAATCCACTACATGTGGATATGTTCATCAAACTCGATCTTAAGTCTTTCTGAAAATCATTGAGCAACAAATCAAGCTTTATACCGTTCTTATTTTTCTTTTCCATAAAAACTCATTTATATCTTATCGGTTTCACACCTCGAGGTATTCAGACTACAGGTCCAAAAACGATTCACTTTTAAAGTGAATTTAATTAATCTTCAATTGAATCTGTTTATTTTGGCCGATTCTCACTATGTCTGTAATCTTGGATAAACTTTAATTCATGATATGTTCATGTTGGTCAATTCTCACTTTGTCTATAATCTTTGATAGACTTTAATTCATGATTTATTCATTTTGACCAATTCTCACTTTATCTACAATATTTGGTAGAGTTTTTTCACAATCCTCGTTATCGTTTATCATCTTTAGCGCTATATTGTGTACAAATACATTGCCAATATCGACTTTATTTGATTATCTTAATTTCGATTCCATTCTATTTCATTTATGACATAATTTATCGAGATCTCTTTATTTCATATTTCAAGTACTTGATTAATTCTTCTGGAACTAAAAAATAAATTATATCAAAGTGCTCTTAGAATTTTCATATCCTCACTTCGGTCATATTTAACTTTAGTTTCTTTTCTTGGTAGAGAACGTTTAACATTGGAATCAACTTTCCTACCATACTTCAGGCACAATTATAACTTATTTGCAATATAAGTTGTCCAATAAGAGAATCCACTTTGAGAAGACTATTATCAACCAATAATTTTTTCATAAACTTTGAAAATGAATTCTGTTTTGAACTTCGAGGATCAAAATGATATGATAATATTTCATCTCAAATTATTTATTTCAACTTTTGTTTCACAATTTTAACTGCTTATTCTCCCCCCTAATATTGAAAAAAAAAATTTATCATTTGATAATCAACCTACTAGGTTTCAAACAAATATCAATTGTTAGCCTCAAATACGGGGTTCATATAAAAGATATTTTCTCAATATTTTTTCAAAACTCATCTTAGCATACTATATTGGAGATATTGAATAATCACAAGACATCCAAAAGTTTACTTTGATGAGGCGTAATAGGTTATCATCCTAAAATATCCTAAAATAACTTGTAAGTTAAGAGGAGAATTAACATATACTATCTTGCTAACTTAATGCGGATAAATATATTAATATTCATATTTTGTCTGTTTCAAATATCTAATTTAAAATTTATGATCTCACAAGTATCAATCATACAATTAACTTTAGACGTCTAAATAATGGATCTTCAAGTCCATTTTTTATGAACATATGCTATAAGATGTTCAATATTAATTTTAATAATATATGTGATACTTATCAAGAAAGTTCTGAAAATTTAAAAAATTGAGGTATGTCTGAGAAAACAACTTTACAAACTTCTGGTTATGGTGAGTAGACAATAAACATTTACATGATATTTTAGCGATGCAACAATTAATGTCATGAAAAGCTCAATCTCTCACATTTTTAATTTTTTTTTGTAGAAATGCACAAATTTTATTGGATTGAAGAAATTTATGGTTCTTCATCACGAGTTTTCACATCATGATACAAATTCATGATCTTTTAGTTGAGAAAATTATTCCACAAACTTCTGGTTATGAGTAGACAAAAAATATATGTATGATATTTAAGTCAATGCAACAATTAATATCATAAAAGTTTTAAATTGTCTACATGATTGGTGTATTGATTCACAAATATCACCTTACGTAATTTTGATTTCCTTTAGGAACACACAAAACTTATTGGATTGAAGAAACTTCATGTTCTTCAATATTAATTTCCACATCATAATATATTCGAGATGACCCAACAGATTTTGCCAAACAACACATTTAAATGTGATTTGTAAACTTCTGATTTACAATAATTCATATGTATTTTAATTATTCTAAATTATTTAAATCAACCATATTATTCTCTAATACATAAATCTTCATAAATCATACATACATGTTTTTATATGATTTAATTGTTATAAATTAAATCTAAATTTATTTCATAATAATATAATTCAGGTCATACACATTTTGTCAAAAATACTCTATGCAATTCAACTTTATTTTATCATAAAAATAAATAAATTTCACCTTAATATTTGAAAAATGTTTCTTAATTAAGATATTTAGAAAAATATATAACATTGATTAATTGATACATAAATATATTAAGTGATATATTATATATAATGAGATTTCTTCTAATAAACTATTTTAACACCAAACACATAGACGATGACTCAATCTTCAAAGACAATAAAAATATATATTATATAGTTATTCTTTTAGTGAAATATATATCTCTTAGTTAACGATATAACAAATGATGAAAAAAATATATTATTTGAACAATTCTTCAGGGATGTTGTGATCTTTTTTTTTCTTCAGGAAATATATATAGATTTATAATCTCAAACATGTAACAAATTATATTCTAATAATTTGAAGAAGTTTCTAACACAGTCAAATGTTAGAGAATTTTTTTTGGAATAATATAAATATTTATAAATAATAATCTAAAATAAATATAATCATCTTTCTAGGATACGTTAAAATTATTAGTTTATAAATGATGATCTAAAAAAATATAACCATCATTCTGGGATGCGTTAAAGTTATTTGTTATAAACAATGATCTAAAAAATATAACCATCCTTTTGAAATGCGTTAAAATTATTTGTGCCATTCTTCTAGAATGACAATCATTTTATGAGCATATTACAAATTTTTAGATCCATATAACAAAAAAAATATTTATGAAATCCTTCTAGGATATTCAATATTATTCTTTCAATCCTTCTTAGATTTATTAATATTATATATGCAATCCTTCTGGGATTGTTAATATTATCTTTAAGA